CAACTTGAAATAATCATCTGACTAACAAACCTGAGACCAACGCTGTGCTCATTTTACCCGCCCATCAGTGCTCCATTTTACGGGTATTTAAAACTACACAGAAAGGAAAGAAGTTGAAAGAAGGATTTGTGGTCATGCCTGGGAATCGAACTCGGGACCACTTGCACAGAAGGCCATACACTAACCAACTGCACTAATCCTTCCTCCCATAAAAAGCCTCTTTTTAGGAGCATGCCCCTGACACCCCCGCAGAGATCCCAGATCTTTCTTCATCTATGCCAAATGTCTAACTAAGGCTCTCCGGAATGAAAATATATCATAGCCAGGTGGGGGGGGATGATCCATCTCAAATGGAGAGAAGAATCTATCAAACGATGACTTTTACTGCAAAATTCAAGCAAAATAGATGATCTAGTCATACCGCCAGCTCTCTCCCCTTTCCCTTCCCCTTCCCCTTCCCCTCCCCCCAACCCTATTGACTCCCCCACACCCTGTGACAGAGTATCATGTACAAACAGCCCCAGTTGTTCAAAAGTTGGATAGCACCACCACCAGGTAAATTAATATCCAACAGGTAAATATTAGGGAGACCAATTATTTATTGTGTTAACTACTCACTGATAGAGATTTATCACATGGATAGCCTCATCAACCTTTCAAACAACTGCGCCCAGATAGATTAAAATAATATTATTACTTCAGTCATAGCTCAGCAGTTGCAGTGATCGACTCCACTTTGGTTTGCCGGCACACAAGAACAAATAAAAAATTATATACAATGAGTTATCTTTCTTTAACTTTCAGCTTTGTCCCTGCTTAAAATTTATTCAGTTCACTATTAAAAATGATAGTAAGGAGAAATGTTCTTCAAGCAGCTAGTACGCGAGATTTTCGACTCCGACTTCGACTATCGACTAGTGGGTATACAACTACCGTAATGCTCGGGCCGCAGTCCAGTACTCCCGCAGTCGATGTCAAGTACATGTAACTACAGCTGTAGAACGAGGTGTACTAACTAGTGCTCCCGCAGTCCCGCAGTTGATGTCAGAATTTATTATGCAAATCGCACGACTGCGGGACTGCGAGAGCAGTTTTCTATGTTAGATACTGTACTTAGTGGGCCGGGTATTCTACAATTTAGCCAAGCTAGCGATCTTAATTTTAGTGACGAACAGTCTCAATGATCTCCTCACCTCGTGCAGTACCTCGTGCACCTTATTCTGACTCCATAGATCCATTGTACGCGAACACTGATAATCGAAAACAGTAACCATCATATCTAAAACCAGTTTCCATCGCACAATTTGGAGAACAGAGTTGTCGTTGTAGGCAAAGGGTAGATTTCTTGCATTTCTTCGTGGAAAGGCTTACTAATTTTCTGAAGTTGGCGCCACGAGGCAACGTCCCTTGAGAGTGCATTACATGACCAGCAGCCACCCTCAAGAGTTGGCTAGGTGCTTCATATATGGTAATCAACAAAAGCTTCGGTTAAAACAGTATTCCTAACCTGCACTTTCCATTTACCAAGAGAGCCTCAAGGCAACGACTTACTATCAATTTACTCAGTTGTATATTGGTCGGCTTGTTACGTTTTCGAGTGCCGAAGAGTAAAAATGTTAAGTTATTTTTTTCTATATTTCTGTTAAGATCAAAAGGTGCGTCGCTTTATTCTATGGAAAAGTGGGCTGACCTCATGACAACAAAACGTTTTGGTATTTTCAGATATAGAAAACGGAAGCCGCCAGTCTACATTTCTCCCTAGAGAAGTTCTCCCTAGTTATTCACGGTCAGAAGGTGAGATATCATGAGTATCTTAATCTTTCTTCAGTGACGTAGAATTTCAATTATTTGTTCATTTTTATTCGTTGTATAGCTGGAACAGAGAAATCAGCTGTGCGCCAAGTTAACTGTAGGCTCAGTCTACAGCCTTGGGTGTCTAGGCGACACTTAAGGCTGGAGACTGGGCCCATTGTAGTTTCTACTCCAATCTGTATTTAAATTTGAACACGTTTTAACTCGAGTAAGTGACAATTAGCAGAGTTGAAAACAGTTTTGTACACTTGCAAGGCATGACTATTCGCAAGACATATCCCGATACTTTTCCCGCGGTTAATGAGAAAAATGTATAACTCGTAAATCTTAGAAATGGTAGGTTCTCTCAAGAGTTTTAATTACTAGAAGCTGAGCAACAGTGTTAATGAGCTTATAGGCCTTATAAAACAAACTGAGTATATGGTACTGGCAGCAATAAACATGGTTTTGCAGGTTTAAGTGACATATAACCTAGTACAATGGAGTCGGCCATTAAGGAGAAACCACACTTAATAAATCGCAAAACCCGAGTTTTTGCTGATTTTGTTACGTCCTTTCTTGCTTCATTTGACTTCTTCGCCTGATTTCTCTCTAATCCATTGTCTTGTGGGGTAATCCTGCGTCCCTTTTGCGGCTCTGGTTTGGAGGGTCCCACTTCTTCTTTGTAAAGCTTATCGAAATTTTTCACTTTCTCTTTCATGTCTCTGACAGATTCTTTGAGTTTATCCCTAACCTGACGTAGCTCGACAACGTTTCTTCGGAGCCCCTCGAGTCTGCTCAGCGCCATTTCAAACGACGTGGATCTCATTTGGTTTTCCCTTCGTAAATCATTAACCTTTTCTCGGAGGTTCGCAAGTTGCCGACGCGTCGTCGATTCAAACGGATCCCAGTCCGTTCTCCTGATCTGCAAGGGAAATACGATAAGATGTATGGAAACTGGTATTTTGTCCACCTCAACCCTTTTCGTTGTTACTTCGGGGCCTTCGGACGTTTCTGAAGGACCACACATGGTGATGGTCTTTGTCTTCGAACTCTGTCAAGCGTTTCCTGATCTGATGTGCGCGTATGTACGTAATAATCGTTAACGGAGCTCGTGCGCAGGCGAAGCGTGCGAAAAAACTTTGGTTCGACACAGTAACGACTGCCCCTTTATATTAGCGCATGTCAACCGTCTTACCCACACGACTGTATCATTGGCTAATGTGTGAAATTCAGTGAGGTAACGTGGATTTTTTAAGTCATGTTATTCAAGTGATCGTAGGCTCAGAAAATTTTACTTCAGACAGACATTTCAAAGTTCCCATGAGAGCTTCACTAATTTAGCCTTGGCTAACTCTATATATTTATTGCTGTGAGTCAAGTCAAGTTGCTGGCACACCAAAGTTGCCGTGGCCGAGTGGATCCTTGGCATGGCACTCAACTGAGTGTTCTCTATCTTAAAATTCCTTGGGCAGGCGTCGCGCGGGCGAGAATTTCTAGAGGATGTTGTTCAGATGACCAGTGTACGTCTGAAGTCGTCCTGTTGAGTTAATATGTATATGGACCTGTTTGATACTACTTAATGAGAAAGTTTGGTTGACGTTGAGAGCCTTTAATTGTGAAGCAGACAATGACTTGAATGACGAGGATGGCTCTGTCCAAATACTTAGGGTGGGGCCGCGCGCGGGGGGGGGGGCAGTAACTCTTTAAATTTGGGGGGACAAAATGGAGTTGAATTGAGAATGGAAGGAAAAAAGGGTAAAAAGGTGTATACATAACCAGTTAGTGCACTAATGCGCTCAGGGGGCACCTTTTACACCCTTTTCTAACAAAGGAATCAACAACCATTATTTCTTCGATCATGGGAAGGAATTCCCGCAATTTGTTCATGTATATGTGCGATTTATAAAATTACTAAGATAGTACGCGCGTTCTGATTGGTTAAAAACCTATGGTTTATTGTGCCGGTAAACTCATAGAAAACTTAAAGTTATTTTATAAAAGCAATAGACCACGCTTTCTATCGGTTTACCGGCGTCAGGATAACCCACGCGGCATGTTGGGAGAACGCTGTCAACACTCGAAAAGCTTGAAAATCACTCGCCGAAGGACCACGCCGGTAAATCCATAGAAAGTGTGGTCTATTGCTGAAATAATCCATATCTTTCTATATTGAAATCAAGCACTTCAAAAAGGCCAAGAGATCTTGTTGTTGAGTTTGCGGCGCTTATTCGAAAAAGGAGTTCGAAATGATACTCTGGTAATCGATATCGTGTTTCATGTTAGTAAGAAAAACGACCCATATTATATTTGACCTCAGTTGAAGTTGTGACGCGGGTCATATATTTATGTACATTCTCGATTCGGGTTTCATGCAAAGCAATTGAGTGAAGTTTACAGTTCAAATAGCAAACAGGATGGCATTTGACGTAAGTACAGGAAGATATGTACGTTCCAGAATTCGCCTTAATTTTGGCCATATGTTTCGCCAATTGGCCAACGCGTTACAGCATCAACACAAATCTGGACCAGGTTTACATTTCACCATGTGAAATTCCCCACACCACTTTGCTTTAACTTTTACTACTTTGATGTAGTTTTCGATAGTTTTTATGCCCTTTTAGCTAGAACATCCTTCCATGCCCTAATAACCCTGATACTGGTGCATAATCGAGGGTCTCAGTACAGATCTAGGAGATAATTTTAAGGTCAACAATCATTACATACAAGTAGTGTCCTCCACTGGAACCCTGAAAAAGAATATTACCTGCCTTTAAGTTTCCGAACCAAGCACATTGTAATGTTGCAGTAGAATCACTCAGTCGGCAGAGCTGGACTTCGCGTGTTCGATCCCCGGAGTTTTTGTAGTTTCTGCGAAAAATTCTTGACACCTATGGTGAGAAAAGAGACCTTTAATAGCTTACCACACGTGCACCCTCATGGCTACAACATGTGATTGACATTTATAGTCATTTGACAATTAAAATGGGGAAATCTGGAGGAAACGGCAGTGAGGACCTGATCTTGCGTAAACTGAAAAAAAACAACAACAACAACTGTCAACAACCCGAACAAAAACAAACAAGCAGAAAATTACTAAATAACAAGACAGGTGAAACCCACATCATTTCATTTCATGGTCGAGTTAAGCCTGGAATCCAGTCTACAAATTCACCAAAACGAGGCACTCGAGGTTTCCAAGTTACAAAATGGCGGGTTTCGGAGAAGGTTTTGAACAACGAAATAGTTGCAGTTTTTCATTAATTATTTCTGGATTTTACGCGAACATAGAGAATTTGGAGATACTATAGCTATAGTAAGAAGAACCTCCTATGCCTTCTGGAAGAATCGACTTGATTTTGGTTTTTAATATACCGGTATAAAAATGTCTTCACAAGACGGTGGTGGTCGAAGAAAACGATCTCCACGCACCTCGTCGACATCCAGTTCACGATCAAATGAGAGTCTTTCTGGGTACAGCACTGAGAAGAACCAACATCGAGAAAACTCTTCTGGGAGAAGGAGTAATTCAGGGAAGGTACGATTGCAAAAACTCTCTATCACTATGAAACTGGTTCTTGAGCGCTAAATAAGCTTTGAAATCGATCATGTTAGTTCTGACAGATTAAACTTAACTGGTTTATACACAACTGAACTGTACCATTCAGTTAACATTGGCAGAGTTTTAAGGGTAATTGTCCAGACAGAAAATGATGACAGCGCTCCTGGTAGCGGCGCCGATTAATTAAAACGTAGACGGGAACCAGATTTATCTGGGCCAGGACCAGAATGTGGGTGATCGATTTCTGAACGCTGGTTCCGGAACGGGACGGAACGGTGGGGAACGGTATAGATTAAACAAATGCTAAAGAGTGGTGTTATTTTTGTTTATAAATATTTGCCACTGGGACTAATTATATGAGTTTGGTGTACATGCCAGATCATAACTACCTTAATATTTAATAACTGGAAACAGTTCTCACTACATCTGCCCCCGTGTTTTGAAGAGATTAATCTCGAATTGAGAAATATTCCTGACATTTTTGAAGTGATCTGTTTGCTTGGATCAAGTGCTGATATCAGTCTTAAACAAAGCAAGTTCCGTACCAATAAATCTATCCAGTACTGTTGAATGACAATGGTGCTAGCCCGTGAGCAAGCTCTCCAATATTATGGCTAGCGATGTGAGGTGCAAGAAGCAGAGCACTTGCACGCAAAGGGCAGAGGAAAAGGATAATGTGCTTCACCCAGATGAAAGTGAAATACCAATGGCTGAAAAATGACGCACCATTATTAATTTTGTAGGATGACATTCCTGATGGTGATGAGAAAGCCAGAAAAAGAAATATGTTCAACAAGCAAAACAACAGTTTTTGCACCTGTAGCACGCTTTTTTCCCTTGCCGTCACTGCATGAACATAATGTGAAATTTCCCTGCGCGAGACAAACCAAGGTGGGGTTCCCAAGAATTCAACTCCTGGAACATTCACCTACATTTGAGATTTTAAGGGCTTCTGAATAATATTCATTTTAGTGTAAAAACTTTTTTTTTCAGTTCATTATATTTACTGGTATATATGTTATAGATGAATAATTAGGGCTAGGAGACAAAGGAAGTGGAGAATCAACCTAGGTTAAATAATTTTAAGCTGAATTTAATTATACATGCAGTGCATGGGCAAAAAGTAAATCATTGGAGAAAAAAATCATACAGTTATAGAGTTTTGATTAGCTTAGCCATCATGCTATAGGGGCCATTAAACTACGCTCTAACAGAATATTTTTCCCTTAGAACCAGCTAAGTAGGCTTATTTATTAGTCAAGCTAGATTTGTACTTAACTGCACCTTTAAAATTACCCCATATCTTTGTTTTGCTTTTGGTGAGCTCCCTTACCCGGAGTGAATTTTTTTAATACAAAATATAGGGAAGATTCATTGACATTTTGAGGGGGTTCTTGATAAAATAACTATTCCACTTGTGCTAGAAATTTTGCTCAATTTTCTTTTATTTTGTTAGCATCAACAAAAAAATGTTCATCGCACAAACAGTCATGATCATGTTCGTAAACTGGTGGAGCAGGAAGGGAGAGCAGCACGGAATCTGGTCACATGGTCTGTTCCAGTTACAGATCCTGATGAGGAAGGTAAGAAAGTTTACCTTCATCTGCTTGGGACATACGTTGTAGGGACCTGAACCTGTAGGAAGTGTTTTTTTGCTGAGTAGTAAAACTCAAATACAATATTTTTGTCACTGTAATGAAAAGTTATAAGCATTGGTATTTTAACTGTTGAGTTTATTTTGTAAGAATACTTAAGAGAAGTGTTTAAACTGCAAATGCCAGTTATGCTTCATGTTGCATGTTATATGCAAAATATGTTTAGCTTGTGCTGATCCGACAGTTTCCTGCTTTGCATTCAGTGACACGTAGCACCTCTGAACATAGAGATAGAGTAAACGCCCGCTAATGAGAACCTACTTTTTTTAAAGACTGGCAAAATAGGTTCTTGTATTTCGGGGTACTTAATTATTGGCAATTTAGGCTAATTAGGTTCTTAATTAGGTTCTTAATTTTTAAGAAGTAGATAATAGATTGCTGATTACCAGAAAAATGAATAATTAATTCGCAGTTTTTTTTATTATAACCCTAACAAAACTGATTACTGAATTTATATACGGTTTACTACAGTAATTCTAGTAATACTTAAAAAAATTGTCCCCCAAATTTTAGCCAAGGGGACAAATTGTCTCCCAGTGATCAAATCCTAGCTCAAACCCTGGGGTAGATGCTGTTGCACTGTTCAGCAAGAAACAAACACTGAATCACATGATGAACCTGAAAACTGATACCCTAACATTATTGTAACTTGTGCCCAGGTTCCATTCACTGTGACAGAACTTCATTTCTTACCTCTTTTGCAAGCTCAGCCTGCAAGAAAAACATTTTACTCGTACATGTACACAGCGTGCAAAGAAAGTAGTGTCCGATACCCTGGGGCTTGTGGATTTTGCTATTGGGGTAGTGAATTCTGTTTTTAACTTGCCCGACGGGCAAGTAATGTTTTTTGAGGAATTCGAATAACAGAAGAACTGTGCCATCAATTCTGCTAGTCAAAAAGTTTTTGGGGCTAGTTGAAATGACGTCTGGGCTAGTAAATGCTAGCTTCAGCTTGCCCAAATGGCAAGCTGTAAAAATGATTTTCTTTGCACCCTGATGTACAATAATTATTGATTAGACCATAGGTTCATGATGTAGCTATATAAAACAAACCAAGTGCTATCGTGGTGCGTGGAAGGGAGTATTCAATGTCAACATCTTAAGCACAAATATTGAAATGGCTATGACTCATGAAGCCTGAGCCTTGCTTGAGGGCTGGGGCTTGAGGGTCCATTTGAGGGGCTGAATTTTAATGCCCAGGGAGTACTCCCAAATGGATGCTCATTGGAAAATAAATTTACAATGAGCATCCCTGTCTGATCCCTTTTGTTTGGGAGTACACCCTGGGCATTATTGAGTGCTTTCTTATTATTACCCCTGCTAATGGACACTTCCCTTAGAAAGACCCTTCCTGTAAGAGGTCATGTTACCGGTCAAAATAATTAGTTTCAGGTTAAAATTTTTTCTGCTAGGTTGATTCTTAATTTCCTTCAATTGTCTCCTAGCCCTGATTATTCATGAATTAATTAGTGCTAGGAGACAAAGTAAATTGAGAATCAACCTACAGTCTCAGACAAAAATAGTAGGGATATTTCCACTGAACCCTTTTTTTCCCTTCTTGTCCATCTTCTTTTCCTAGCAGGAAAAGCAGTTATATCACAGTTACAGCTGCTGTAACTTACCAAATCTTGTGAACCAACATTGGGAGGGCCAGAAGACAAAAAGGTGTCCCAACAATTTTGACTGAGACTGTAGGTGAAAAAATTTTGACCTGAATTTAATTTGTCCTGTAACAGACACCTTATAGCCATGGTCCCAGCAACATACAAGCACTGCATTTTTAACATTCCTGGTTTTCATCTGTCTGGAAAATTTAATATCCTTGGGGATTTCACTGTTTCTTGATCATCCCTGATTTTGTAGATACATGTATCTCAGGAAAATCCCTGAGTTTGTCCCAGCTTATACATTGTGATAATATTTTTATTATAGGAAAGATCAAAGCTATGCAGTGAGAGGATTGGGTCCAGAAAAATGATCTTCCATTGATACCCGATACCCCTGACAATACAAAATTTTGAGTTTTCAAATGTCAGGAATTATAGTTTAACTAGACCACAATACCTGCAGTATAAGGATGCATTGAGAAAATAGAAATGCTCTCAGTTCTCCTCATTTGTCCTGTACTGTCCCAGACCATCAGTAATATCTATGATTTCAAGAGTTTTTAGTAGTCTGCAAAATCTGGGATGTTTTGGAAACAATAAAGTCGTCAATTGTTTGGGATTTTAGAAGAGCATTATACAGGGCTTCTGATATTTCGCGGAAAAAAAGCAAAATTTTTCGGGATCTTCAGGGGCAAATTCACGGAGAAATCGGCTGATTTCAGGGGATTTTTGCGGTGAAAAAGTCAAAATTCGCGGAAAAATCGGCCGATTTCGCAGGATTTTTGCGGGAAAAAAGTCAAAATTCGCAGAAAAATTGGCCAATTTTACGGGATTTTAGCAGAAAAAAGTCAAATTTCAAAGGATTTTCAGGGGCAAATTCTTAGAAGAATCGGCCGATTTTACAGGAAATTCGGGGGGGGGGGGGGAACTTCGCCAAGAAACAATCAGTAAAAAACAGCCGATTTCGCTGGATTTTTTTGGCAAATTTCACTAAAATCAATCAATTTTGCGTCAATATGACCAGCGTTGTTTAGCGTTTTTTTTAACAGGGATAATCATTTGCTCATTCAACAACAGTTTGCTTGAGAAATGAGCAAATGCTAAAGCTATAAACATTATGGTTAGTGCCCAGTTTTTTGCAACATTCATCTAAAAACGCCTGGTAGTTTTGGGACGTTGTTTACTCGTTGCAGTGACGAAGTTTGAAGATAAATTTGGACGTTTGGGGTGAATAAAACAGGTCTAATAGCCATGATAAGTATTAAATATGTTTTGCCGACACATATGTATTTGGAAATATTTCTGGCGGATTTCGCAGTATTTCGCGTTTTTTTTGGGAATTTTGCAGGATTTTGCGGAAATACTTGAATTTTGCAGGTCTGCAACCACGCGAAATATCAGAAGCCCTGTATAATCCAATGCTTCATGTTCATGGTTGAAATGATCTCGGGCGCTCAAAGGTCTTTTCAGCATAACAAGTCAATTGGGAAGTTGCAAAGTTGACACCAAAGTTATTTTGGTAGTAAGTAGACACTTTTTCTGGTCCCATGGAAGTCTGGTCATGCTCATGACAGGAAAGACCATACATAGTTCTAACATAACTCTTACACATTGCAGAAAGATTTAACTCTAGTTATCTAACTCATGTCTGTATGTAGTGTACTTTGAAAGCTTGAGTAAGACTGGCCTGGCCGGATGTGATTTTTATTGCTCTTTTTGCTTTTTGCTGTTGGCGTGTCAGTGAACATTATGAGAAAAGCAAGAAAGATGAATTCAGCTATCTATTTTCATTTGTTACACCTATACACATTTGAATCTGTTTCATAACAGACTCGAAGCTACTGAACAAAATGATTTGGATTTACATTTCTTTCTAGAAAAAACAGATAGCAAAGAAAAAAAAGAATAGGCCCATAGCCTCCTCTTCCCTAGCTTGTGGCATGTTAATGTTAATTTACAAAGGGAGTTAAGTGGCTATCTTTTCAGACAGATTGTCACAGTCTTTAAGATGCTATATAATGTGAAAATTAATTTGCATTTGCAAAATTTTTTTTTTCCTTTTTCCTGCTGTGATCTACAATGTGCTGTGAAGTGTTCATTTCCATAATTCCCAGTAATGTTTAAAATATTTTCCCTGATTGATTCCATTCTTTTTGAAGTAGTATAATGTAAATATTTGACTTTTTGCATAATATGTGCTGTGTAATGATATGCAGACCTTCCTTTTTTAGTCGCAAATTTTCTTTGTTTATATTCAAATCACTTGTTTCAGTCATATTGTTTTGAAATGATTGTCTACTGCTTCCTTTGCAGTTGAACTCAGAATTCAATTTAATGAATTGTACCCAAAACACACCTAGCGCAGGGATAACATAATGTTGCTTATTTTAAGTGTAAAATCAGAGTGGAACGCTGCACACAAATGAGGAAGGACAAATTGAACCTATATGCATTGCGATCTGATCAATTCTGGATTGGTATGTCTACATTTTTGAAAGGAAAACACTTTTTTGTAACCGCTTACATAAACATTTTCATAGTGGGTTTTCTTTCAATTCTCGATTTTTTAAAGTGGATTCCAAATGGTAGAAGCACTGTTTGAAATTTCACACATGATTTTGATCATGGATTTACTGTTCAGGCCACAAAAATGTTCTTTTGAATTGAAACCCAAGAAGATGATCATGAAAGATTAATAAGTGAACCTGTTTGTGCCTTATGAACAGTACAATATTATGATGATAATACAATATTTTCTCACTTCAAAAGTAGTAAAAGCTATGGTGGCTAGAACGGCATAAAAAGACAAATTATTTCTCGGTAATTTTCTCATTCATTTGAAATTTATAATTGTAAAATAATACTTTGCATGATGTACACAAAATCCTGTATCTGCCAAACAATAATTATAATATCATGTCCAAGTTTTTTAAAAAATGACCTTGTTGACCTTTAAGTTTCACTATAGTTTAGTAATGAAATGTGTAATGTTTGCTTGCTGTCTGGTGTGTTATCATTACAGTTTTCATTTCAAGTTTCACAATACACAAAAATGAAATAACTCACAGTATCTGCTTGGTGGATTGAAAATTAATTTTTGTACTGACTACACTAGTAGTATAATTATTTACTTTGCTGAGGAAAGTTCAGCTTTTTTATTATTATTTCCTGGTAACTGCAAACAAATTATTAGCTGTCTGCTTATTTCACTTTGCTTTTTATCATGATTTGATGTGCATTATAAAATTTAATGTGCTCAAACTGAAGCCACTCCCTGTATAAATTTGTCAACATTGCTTAGGTCTAAATAGTGATTTTACGGTTATAAAGACCGGTTACATGTACATCATTGTTCTTTGATGGAACAAATTAATATATTTTCTAGTTATGATGCATTCTAGTAGCATTTTATGTTGTTCACCGTAGATCTCTTAGTATAGCATTGCAGCATCATATCAATGAATTTACATGTATTTTTTCTCAGTTTTTGTTTTAATATCTATAATTTATAAACAACATTTTTTCTAGGTACAGCTGTGTTTCAAGACACTTAAATTTCACAAATCAGAGTGCTGATTCTAATAATTTCATTTGGTATTATTATTTTCCACTCCAGCTTGATTCAATATTTTTTTTAAAGTTTATTTTATTCAAAAGTTAGCGAAAAATTGGTATCCCAGAAAATGTTTGAACTGATCAAAGCACCATGTTTTTTGTATTCAGTAGGATGTTGTGTGGTATAATGATGATCATAGTAATGAGTAAATTCTAAAGTACTAAAAAAAACTATTCAATGTTTTTAAGCAGAACTTAATTCACAAACAAGTTAAATTTATAGAAAATAATATTTAAAAGTCATTCAGTTCTGAAAGCTAGCTTTCTTAAAAAGGTAGGTAGGCTCTAAGATGTCTCTTACAACCGTAAATATTTAAGGATCATCTTAGTTCGACTTTGCTCTGTGGAATGGGCAAAGCTCCCTCTTTAAATGATTTAAATTCAGTCTTTAGGACTTGAAGCAACCTCAGGTGGTTTTATCTCAAAAGTAGCTGCTCACAACTTCAGGTTTCAAGAAGATCTATCTCCTTTGCCTTACAATGCTTTGAAAACAAGAAGAAAAATGATGAATTTAATTTGGAAATCGACAGGTACAACCGGTGCAATTTTACTAGGAAAGAGTAATAGCAGGCATTGAAATAACTGAATCCAGGATTGAATGGAAGCCTCAAATCAGGTTCTAAGTAACTTATTATATAATATCAAATTCTCCTTTTGAAGGAGAAATTAGCATTTAATCAGATGTGTCTTGGGGCCTTTTTCCATGCACCTGTCTGTAATTATTTATTGAGGTCACATATTTTTTTTGCAGTTTTAAACATGGATCACTAATACTGGTATCAGTAGCAGGATCCATCCTGCAAAATTCTCAAAAATAGTCTAACACATTTCATTTCTTTCCTTGATCAAAGCAGAAAAGGGAAAAAAATCCAAGCCAAAGATGGTGAGCAAAAGGCGTACCTCTACACCTGAAAAATCTGGCTCATCTGAGAGAGAGGGATCGCCTGCACAAAAGAGAGGAGGCAAATCGCCAGCAAGATCTCGATCAGGAAGCAGAAAACTGTCTGGTTCTTTCTCTGGGAAGAAAAATGACCTGAGAGCTCGTTACTGGAGCTATTTGTTTGATAACCTGAAAAGAGCGGTGGATGAAATATATGGCACTTGTGAGGCTGACGAGAGTATTGTGGAATGTCAGGTACCCTGAGCACTCCAGCTGTAGGGATGTTCTTTTGATGAAAGTTTTATTTTACCTCATTTGTGCCAAATTTGGCTGGTACTTTTATAAGTTTGCGATTTTTTCTAATGGCAAAAAACGAGAAAATATTGTACCAATAAGGTAATTATTATAGGTTGACTATTAATTATATGCAAAACCTGCATGGTCTTTTTGCTTGATTTTGGGTACAGTACATTGGTGAGTTTAGGGGAGGGGCCCAGGGGAGGGGGGGCAGGTCCCCCCTTTATTTTTAGGCCAAACTTAAGTCTGCAGGGCGGGCTGACAAAAATATTTTTTTTGGGGGGGTCCCTCTGTATTCTTTGGGTGTGGATGACAGATACCCCACTTACTTGAAGATCTGAATCTGCCACTGCAGTTGATTGAGCTAGTGGGGCTAGTGCCTTGTTCAATTCCTGTTATTACTGGCCTGAAAATAATTATTTTTCTTTGTTGAAAAGACAGTCATATGTCCAGCCAGATCACTGTTTTAGTCAGACAAATTGCCCTAAAATGGCAACAAACTCATTACAATTTTCATGCATTTAGGAGGATTTTCTGTAAGTTCTTTGATACTTAATCAGTTTTGTCAACATGTCTTACTGCAGGTAGGAATTTGCTGGTCATTGGCAAAGTTTCACAAGACATTGTTCAATAATCCATTTTTTAGCTCTGTTTTACCTTCACAAATTAGTCAGTCTCTTTCTCAATTTTGGACAGGGGTGGGTGAGGGTAGCGGTAGACAATAGGCAACAAAAAGACAACATCAAATTCACGTGGATACATGTAGCAATGGATAACAGATAGTAACTAATTTAGAATTGCACTTTACTGTCATTATTTCTTTTAAGTGAGAAAATTTACTGTGCCTTGTTGTTGTTTATTATTATTTTGACAGGAGGTTATTATGATGCTGGATCAGTGTCGGCGTGATTTTAGTGCTCTTATTGATAGAATAAATGTTCAAGATGCCTTTGAAAAAGCAGACTACAAGGACAGGTGAACCAGTAGTAGTATGTACAACAAATTGACACCCTATACACTGTAGTAACATGTTAAAAAAAAAGGTAAAGGCGCACGAGCAAAAGACCCAAATGGCCAGAGCTTATCCTGGCTTCCTTAGCGTGAGCCGTGCCTAAGAGTTTTGCTATTCCCCCTGGATGGGATGTTAGTTGATCACAGGGTTAAACCCAGTAGTATGTCACTGGTGCCCATTTATGCACCTGGTCCTAGTTGTTCAAAAGGTGGATAACACTATCCACTGGATAAATCTCTATCCACTGGATAGCACAATTAGTTTCCCCAATTTTTATCTACTGGATAGTGATTTATCGGGTGGATGGTGCTATCCAACGTTTGAACAACCCGGGCCTGGGTAAGGAGACACAAAGTGGAGTAAAGTTCCTTGTCTAAGAGCGAGGCTTGAACCACGGATCTCCAGATCCGCCCTCTAGGTACAAAGCAACATGTAAATCCTCATTTTTAAAATTTTATTTTTTTAATTAATAATAATAATATTTTTTAATAATCATAATTATTGTCAAAAGCAATTGTTTTGATTATATTATGTCCAAGTACAACTACTAATACTTTTTTGCAAGGGTTACAGTATAATAACATCATACATGCATGTCGAGTTTTTATCTTTATCCTTATTTAATTTTAGTTCAAGTTTCATGTTATATTTGTTTTAAAATTACCATAGCCAAAACATAACAAGGAAATAATAATTTAAATCAAAAATAAAAACTGAGACTTAACGTGTACTACAATGTAAATTTGCCATCTTTTTAAATTTATTTTATAGCCAGTGATGATGTAACTCAATATACTGTTTATGTGATTCACGGTTCTGTTTTAGTAGCTTTTCAAAAGAAGTTTTTAGACTTTTCTACTGATGCCCTTTACTTGGGTTACAAGGTTTACTTACCTAGGTAAATCTTTCACAAGTGTAAACACTAATTATCATTAATACTTCAATAAAAAATGCTTTGCTAAACGATAGAAATTTTATTGACATAAACAGTAAGTGCTTAAGTGTAAACACAGCATAACTCAACTAAAGTGAAATGTATGGTTTGTTGTTGCTGCTTTTTTCCATTATTTTATTTAGCAACATTTAGCAACATATAAACATGGATCAGGCACTATGAAGTTCAGTGTTAATTATTAGTAAAATCCAACTAGGATAATCAATATGTTCTGATTGGTTGAGCTAGTACTAGGCTCATGTTATTGCCTACTAGAAATGTTTTTTACTAAAAGCTGTCTTGCCCTCATGGCCTCTGAGTCAATAGCCCATGGTCCTGGGCTAGTTCAGTCACTGTGTTATTTAATAAGACAAAATCAATATCATGTATTTTAATAATGGTTTGTACAAAATCAGTATTTCAAAATTGTTATTTAATTTCACGTTATGAGTGTTATAGCATGGTTTGTATTTATGCCAAAATATATCACTTCAAAATCATGCTATCATTTGTTTATACTGCTACCCTCAAAAGGTTTGTAATTTTCTTCTGGAAATTATTACATTAGCCACTCTAGACTAAATCAGAAAAATGATTCGTTTTCTATTATTGGAGCCAACATTTGGAATTGTATACCTGAAAATTTACGAAATTCTTCAAAATCTCTCTTTAAGGAAAAAGTTCATACAATTCTGTTGAAAATATTTGAAGTTCAGGATAGATATGCTGACCTAAACACGATAATCTCCGATTTTAAAAAATATTAGCCCCCTCTTATCTAAATAGCTGCCTCGATTTTCTTATCTCAATTTCTCTCGTGACTGACCTTTTTTATAATAAATATGGTACTTTTTCACTTCAACTATTATGTAATAAATTGTTTATACTACTACCACCTGCCTCGAAAGGTTTGATATTTGTATATTTAATGTAAGAAATAAAGATGTTGTTGTTGGTGTTTTCACATGTAGGTATTTCAAATTAAGCTGAAATACCACCGCTCTAAGCCAATCAAATTGCAGGAATTTCTCATGTAGTAGTATGACAACATTAACTTGTGTCAAAAAAATAAATATGTGCTGTAAATAATTGTTACTGGAAGGATGCAACACGTATTTTGATCGACACATATGACATTATTTTGTTGCTTCTAACTGGACAGTACTCTTTCAGTAAAATACATTATTTATTAATCTTTATTTTTTACCTTCACAGACCTACATCCCTAGCATGGGAAGTGAGAAAATCTTCACCAGGAAAAACACTGTTCTCTAGTGCAAATGTTTTACAATCATCTCTAGACAAGGGTTCCACTAGTCCTATCCGTACTCTGGACTTTAATCCTCAGGCCATGCCTCAGACACCACAGTCACTTAATCAGACATCAAGCGGTTCAGCGCCTGTTCAGTCATGGGCTGACAGAGTAAGGGGAATGCCATCCAGTGTGAACAATGGAGTGAAAACTACAGAGGCAAGACCAGGTCAGGATTCTAGTTTGAGTTCAAAGAGTTTGCCCGGGCATATTGATGGCTGTGTCTTTCAAGATGTGAACGATGATGGTGATGATGAAGGCTGGGAGACTGTTCATCATGGAAGAAAGACGCACAGCAGTAATACGAGGAAATGCAATAGAGCTGCTTCAGAAAAAGCTTCAAACAGAAGGACAGATGTCAAATTGAACCTGAACCATTTGGAAACAACAAAAGTCATGGATGGCATGACTAGCAATGGAGCTCTTGACAACCAAGGTTCACATACAGAAAAAGATGCTAATGATAAAGCTTATTCAACCTCAGTGAAAGCTGAGAACTTGGCAGAAAATTTTAAAGACAAAGTGATCGACACTTCACCAGATGATGAAGAACAGGCTTCTTTGTCTGATATTGAACACGAGAAAGCCCTGTCTGCTGCAACAGAACAGGAAGAGAGTTTGTCAAGACAGATTGAAGAATGTCAAAACCAGATAATTACGTCCGTTATTGAACACGAAGAGAGCTTGACTAAGGAAATTGCAGAGGAGGAGGAACTAGTGACCCAGATAAATGGAGAAAATGAGAGTCAAGTGATTGACATTGATGAAAAAGAAGACCTGGATAATGGCAGTGATGTTTATGAACATTCACTGAACTGTAGTGGGACTACAAATGGTGACAGTGTAAGTGCTCTTTTTTATCTGTTACCGTAAAATTCTGAAAATAAGCCCCTGGGCTTATATTTTTCAAAGGCCCTTTTTGAGGGGCCTGTTTTTGGAGGGGCTTATCCACAGAGGGAAATTTGCGTTTCAAAATAGATTGGGCTAGCCTTATAGTTGGAAGGTTGGAAGTAAATTTACCGTTTTGGCTTTGTTTTAATTTGTATTTGAGGGCAATTTTCCAAGTACAAGCCACCGGGGGGCTTATATTCGGAGGGGCGATTTAACGGAGGGTTTTTTGCGTTACCGCTTTGGGGGGCTTATATTTGGAGGGGCTTATACATGGAGGGGCTTATTTTCGGAATTTTACGGTATACATTAGTCTGTGTAGCAATTATTGTTTCCATGCAGTTTTGAAGCAAAGAACAAGGAACTATAGTCAAAGACCGCGTGAAAACTGGCGCGAGTAAACGAGCTCTCATTCCATCTTTGCGCCATCAAAACTGAACATCCCATTCCTTGTCATTCCTTGGTCTTTCTTTAAGTCTTAAAAGAGGTGTCTACATTTAAAGGATTTTTATGTTGATGGGACTATGATGACTAAGATGAAGTGTGTGCTTAGGAGAGGGGTCTGTTAACAGGTTTCAATGACTTAACAATCAAAATTCATAAATAAAGAGGTGCCTGAAAAATGCCTGAGTGGAATTGGAATGTTTTCCCATGATACCATAGAGTTGGCACTATGAAAAGGCTGCAATATGGTGCTCAATATGCTTCATTGTGGACGCACTAGTCTTGATGGTTGACAAGGGGTTAATGACAAAATAAGTGGGCATGTATTTGTTTGCCCTTTTGTGTCCCATTTTGTATGACAGTTTGGATTTTGTGGCAATATTGTCACTTCCATTTATGTGTCCGAGTGCAGTACAAATTAATGATTAGTTATTGGAAAATTCGCTGTTAAATTCATAGATGATCATCTCAGTCTAACGTTTTTTTTTTCTCATAGAGCATGTTGGTAAACTCTGGTACATCTCTGACATGGGAAGAAATGATTGCTAAATATGATGGTATGTGATCAAAGTCCCAGTGTTTCTGTAATTTACATTTCGACAAAGCAGCATCAGCAACTGATTACTCTGTCAGGGTAATAGCTGTTGTAACTGCAATATCTATCCTAACCTGTGAACAGTATTCAGGGCAATGTGGTGTGAAGAAAAGGGAAGAAATTTCTCCTCTCCCTGTTCTTTTGCATCTTCTACACTTCTTTTCACCCTTTTCTTTCCTGGAGAGCCAGTTCAGAGGTTATATCAGTCTCATTCTTCATTGATATACAAACATCCCTTGAATCCTCACAATCTAACTAATTAAAGCAAAAAAGATAACAATAATAATAATAGTAAATAAGTAGATACTACTAAATAAAGTAACAGTTGCTTTGTTCATCTCAACTGCAGCTCGGTTTAGCAGCCACATGTAGCGCAAGTACATGAATTCCTTCAATCTGATCACCCGTACCCTGTCAGGACTGTTAGTAAAAGTGACTGTTGCTTCAACAACCTGTTTGGAAACCTAACCAGATTCAAAGTGAAAAGTGTATCTTTTTAGTGTATTATTCCTGTTGCTAAAGTTATTGTGTTTATTATATTAAAACCATTGACATATTCCAGCTGATCACTCTGATGATAAGGAATGCAGTTGGGGTGATTTAGTGGAGCAAGCAGAGAGACCACCTGGCAGAGCTGTTCATCTACACCAGAGGCTCTCTTCACCTTCAAGAAAAAGGTGAAGTAATTCCATTTCTGAGCAATTTATATGACTTTTGTCTAGATTGAATTTTTTTTTAACTAGGTTGACTGCATAAATGGTTAACAGTGTGATGATTAATTATGATATTTATTTATATTAAGTTTCTATTTTTATTATTATTTTTTTTGGCATCATGAAATTACTTGTCGGTAACTCCACCATTTATTCTGGGTGCTTTGTAATAGACCTTCTTTACCGACACGGCGGCCATATTAAATTAATTGGATTTAATGAGTATTATGGGATGCCCAGGGGGCATGAGCACGATCTCATATACTCGCATCAGTATTTACGCGCGCTTTTCGGGCCAATTTGTCTTTAAGTTTTCGTAGGAAAAGATTGTAATGAGAAAAGAAGATCGTTGTGCCGTGCTTGGACGTAATAACGATCGCCTTTTTACAGAGAAGTATACATTGAAGTTCTCTTTTTGCCCGAAAAGCGCGCGTAAATAATGAGCGAGTGCCCCCTGGGCATCCCATAATACTCCTTAAATCTAATAAATTCAATATGGCTGCCGTATCGGTAAAAAGGTCTATTCCATTTCTGAGCAATTTTTATGACTTTTTTCTAGATTGATTTTTTTTAACTAGGTTGACTGCGTAAATGGTTAACAGTGTGATGATTAATTATGACATATTATGTTTCTATTTATTTTTGGTATCATGAAGTTACTTGTCAGTTACTCCACCGTTCATTCTGGTGCATTATGATATTTATTTATATTAAGTTTCTATTTTTCTTGGCATCATGAAGTTACTTGTCGGTAACTCCACTGTTCATTCTGGTGCTTTGTACATATCGACAGTACAGTATGTACATATATATGCCTGCCTTAAATCAATTTTGACCCTGCTCGCCTTAGTGCTTCCAGTAGCTCAGTGGTTAGAGCATCCAAACTATAACTAGGGGGGTCGTGAGTTTGATTCTCACCTTGAGCTCGGAATTTTTTCTGAGCTTTCTGGTGTTAGAATTCTCCGTCATCCAAATTACATTGTATTTGTAAGTAAATTATGTCATTAGAACTCTTTGTTCTGGTTGTCCTTATTAGTGGTAGAAATTGTTAGTAGTTAATTTTTTTTATTATATGTTTTGCAAAAATGATTTTGGGATTTTTTGCTGGACATGTTAATCTAGGCACCCTTAGGAAGCCTAATTTACATGTAAAGGTAATGAAAGCATTTGTACGCATTAAAAAAAATAATATTTTACTTGTTACTAAAAAAAATGAATTGTATTTTTTACAGACCGTTAGAGGAAGTTATTCGCATTCACGAAGAAAAACAGGTACAGTTTAGGTAGAGTTTACATTTGAAGCAAAAAAACCTTGTAAACATTAAAAAAACTGATCTTGTTGCGCAACCCACCCGTTCGTCTAGTTGAATCTAATGCCACGATGCTCGGGCTTTTCGCGGAACCTTTTCCACCAAAATGAAACCTTGTACATGCCTTCTTCAAACGGCGTTTTTTGGAAAAAATCCCAGGAACCTTAAGTTAATAATAAATAAAATAAAATTTTTGACTGTAGACTCTTTGTTTGTTTGTTTTTTCTTTTCTAATAGAAAAAGGCGCAACAGCAAAGGGAGCGTATGCTAGATGAAAGGCTTCAGAGTCTTCAGATGCTTTCTGAAAAGGTTTGTAGCGCTTTATATTAAAGAATATATTTTAGAAATTGTAGTTTATTTCTCTACTACAGTTTTTTTTTAATATTTTAGAATATTTTTAGAACTTGATAGTTTAAGTGTGTGAATTTACGACTGCCAGTGAGTTCTTGAGTGCAATTTTAACTTGCTCGTGTTATATTAGCCTTTCTTTCGCTTGCTCGATTTTGGCGTATTCGAGAAAGACTCTGCATGACCCGAGTAAGATCTTTGTTGAGCATGCGCGGCATGTTGCTGGGATACAGTTTCAAACCCAGGCCTTATAGCCGTGCGCTTGGTATAGCGGGCTCAGTTAAAACCATCGATTTTATCAATAAATGGAGGCTCGCACTCGAAAAAAAAGTTTGACGAGAGAGAACAAGATTTACGAGTCCAGACGTTCGGGCTTCGGACAAAAAAAGGCTCTGCTCGTTGGGTGCAAAAAAGCATGCACCGCTGAACAAACAATAAATATTTATACGAACATATAAAAGCGAGTAATTTTGCTACAGTTGTGTTATAAACGCGCAGCCATCTCAATTTTCTATAGTTTACTGAACTTGTTTTGTCTGTTGTTTCTTACACTGAAACTTTTAAGGTCCAGAAAGCTCGTGAGCTGAAAGATGAATTGATACACCAGCGTCAGCAGCATCTTGACGAGAAGCAGAGAAGAGCGGAGCAACAGAGGATGTCCGTACTTCAAGAGAAAGTTCGGAAAGCACAAGAAGAAGATGCCAAGGTCCTAAAGACACGTCCTATATAAGAACTTGTTATTTTTCGTTGTATAAATGGCCCCATTGTGCCCAAACTTTTACACTTTTTATTTAAGAATTACTGCTCTCCTGGCTTTTAATTTGCGAGAATCTTTTGGCAGCACCGGAAGCTATCATCATGCCTTAGCTTTTTGTACTTCGGAAGAAGGAGTGTAAGGAATCCACCCGGCTCCACTTCAAGCCTGGATGGGGTCTCATTTCCCGCTCTGTCCTCCATGTCAAAAAAGACGGTGTCTCCTTTAAATAGCCCCTCTCTATCACTAGAAGAAAAAAGTGTACAGTTTAAATGTTTCTGTGTTACTTGTCCAACAAAACACAGTTCCACACTCACGCAAAACCGGTAACTTTAATTAGTTAATTTGTCAAATTTTCACTTACAACATTGGAATCCATTAGACTCGTCGTAGGGTTTGTGTCTTGTGTACCCCCCCCCCATTCCCATCCATAGTAAAGTGAGTACTCACGCACACGTTGTGATGATCACTTCTTTATTTTCTAAGTATTTGTTTTTTTTTAAGGTTAATGAAATTGCCTTCATTAACACACTAGAAGCACAGAATAAAAAGATTGAAGTCCTTACAAGACACCAGGTATGACACAAAAATGCGTATAAATTTATACACTGTTTCCTGTTGTATTTTTTCGCGTTTATCATTGTTGCTTTCCGTTATTTTCATTGTCAAGCTACTCTAACTAGCAAATGTTATTATTTGCCATGATTTATTACACTAAAAAATATTTTGATTTCGGCAGGGCCATGAAGCAAGGTTACAAGACATTCAGGTATTTTAAAACAAGCTCGAAATTTTGGTTATTTGGTAATACAAATATGGCAAGTTTTTGTCTGCGAATTAACAAGAAATCGGTTTCCATTTGTTCGTAATCTTGAAAGGTCAAAACATACTTTTCAGACGTAGGCGCTTCTTGTATTCAACTAAAATGTAATTTCAATTTCTTCTTATACAAGGAAATAAACTTAAAATCAATTTTCTACCAATGAAGCCATCACAAAGCAAAGGTCACTGCTAGTGAGAAATCCTTAGCTTTTCAATCTTCGCGCAAAACATTATTATAGTAAAACGAACGAGAACACAGACATCATTCGCTTCTATTTCTCTTGTCACAGGAAGAAAGACAAAGGAAGAAAGAAGAACAACAAGCTAAAGAAGCGGCCGCACAGGTAGGAGTGGTTGTATAGGATCTCTTTCGAGGTTTGAGTATCTTTTGATCGGGTATGCTTGGAAATGTCATAGGGTGAGTTCGATGATATCTCCAAAAAGAAAACATATATTCGAGGATATCTCAGACTTAAAGTGAACGGAAAAAAACTGGTTGGGCAAAGGTGATTCCGTTTTGATATCAAGAAATGCAAAGTCGTACACCTTACCATTTGGTCTTTTTTTTTTTCGTTACTGTAACTATTTATTTAGATAGACTCAGACCTATAAAGTTGATAAAACAAAAACAAAACAAAATTACACCGATGCCTTGAAGTGTGTCATGCAAACATCACCATCCTTGCATGAAATAGTTTAATGTTCGGAAAGCCAGGCGTCAGTGTTGTAAACGTCAACAAACAGTCCAGAACTCTTTATCCCCCAGATTAGTAGTTGCGTTCTCTTGACGTCGAACGCAATAACAAGTCCAACTGGAAAAATTGTTTTTGCAGGAAAGGCGTCGCCAGCTGGAGGCCGAAAGACTGGCAAGACTTGAAGAAGTGCAGCTTAAAAAACAGGAACAGGTTGTGTTAATGCTGTCTGTGTTACTATTTCAGGTTGTGGTCTGTGGCTGCTGGCTGTCCCCACCGCTGAGACACAAACACAAAAACTAATCTGTTCGCCCTTCTCTGTGACCAGCAGAAGTGAAAAGCATTTTAATGCCTTCAGCTAAAAAACGCAGAGTTAAATGAGTTTCTTTCTTCATTTGCCTGTGACAGCCTGGCCTAGAAATTTAGTTCCTGGAAATTTGTATTTTTTAAATATCTTGAATCCAGACTTGTAGCGACGATATATACATGTAAATCACAAGTGCAGACTAGAGGTATAACTTTCACCCATTGCTACCTCCCAATTGTAATATATTGGTAAAAGGAGACCGCTGTAGTCAGAAACGTACCTTTGGTGTTTGGCTACAGCTAACATAGCTTCCTCATGTTTTATTTAGGAAGCGAAATACTTGAGGGAGAAATATGAGCGAGAGAAAGCGAGAGAGGAAGCCGCTAAAGAGAAAGCCAGGTACGGATAACGAGTACATTTTGGATAAGTATGGTTTGGGTTAGAGGGGACGTGTACTTAACTGCTCCAGGTAGTTGATAGCTTCTGTAGGTAAAAGGTAGAAACAATAAATATATATAGAACTTATAGTTAACGTACAGCTGACAGGAGGCAACCATAGTCGGCTGTTTACATACTGGCTGAGGAGTTAAGCTCGGGGCGCAAGTCTGACGCGCTGAATTCTGGGCCACGCCGCCTCCAAACAAGAAACCGTTCATTTATGTATTGAGTATTTTTCTCTGACTGGAAAAGAACATTGTCGTTTTTTGTTCGTTTTAACTGTCTTCATCCAAAACGTGTCGAAATCTAAAATTGCTAATTAAGAAAAAGAAAAAAAAGAAGATGACAGCAAAAGAAAAATTTTGAGAAAACCTTTGTGGTTTGTTATAACAGAGAGAGGGAGATGCGTATAGCTGCTCGTAACGAGGCCCTTCAAACAGCAACTGAACAACTTCAACTGAAAATTCAACAAAAGGTAATGAATAATTTTATAGTTCGCTTTGGAGTTAGCTGTTTTTCCATGAACCATTTCTGTCAACCTCAAGTGTAATTTGGTACTTTGATCTCCACTTTTTTTCAGCAAGCAGAAACCACAAGACGGCATGAGCAAGTGCTGGAACAAGTCAAAGAAAAGGTGCAAATTTCATTGTTACGTTTTCAAATAAATCAGGAAACTGCTCTAATTGCTCTACCTTGGTGTCTTACGCAATGTCTAAGTGTATTGTTTTAAATGATATACGGTCTAAGAGAGTTTTGATTAATAATTTATGAATAAATTTTGAGCTTGTTTTTAATTTTAGGCTGCTGGTGTGTCACGCCATTCTACCCAGGACGAAGTACCTGCTGTCACGCCATACGATAGGAAAAAGATATGTACCCTGTGTAACGTTGAGGTACGTTCCGCTGCCTTATGTATACGATTAAGTGGCTTTGTAGGGGGTTGATCCCTGTTTTACGGATTTGAAGGCTTTTAATGGACACATCTTTAGATTTTCATCAGTTGTGAGTCTTCTTTTGAATTTTA